AGCAGCATTGGATTTTAATTTCCAAACATAATTGTGGTGGTCATGCTCAATTGTTCTTAAATGGAGTTCACCTGCTCAGGGCAGCAGCCAGAGCTGTGGGCTCTCCGCAGTTCTGCTGAAGCTCTATTGCTGACACTGTTGTTTCCTCCCCTACAGAGTCGAATGGCAGAAAGTTTGCGTCTGTTTGATTCCATCTGCAACAACAACTGGTTTATCAACACTTCCCTCATCCTTTTTTTGAATAAGAAAGATCTGCTGGCAGAAAAAATCCGACGCATCCCCTTAACAGTCTGCTTTCCTGAATACAAAGGCCAAAACACGTACGAGGAGGCAGCAGTCTACATCCAACGCCAGTTTGAGGACTTGAATCGCAACAAGGAGACCAAGGAGATCTACTCACACTTCACCTGTGCCACTGATACCAGTAACATCCAGTTTGTGTTTGATGCAGTGACAGATGTCATCATTCAGAACAATCTCAAATACATTGGCCTCTGCTAAGAATCCTTGGGTTTAATCTGTTTTCCTGGAGTGATAAAAAAGGGGCTAACTTCTTCCACTTCAGTGGAAAAAAATTGGGCAATGCTTAATAGCCCAAGGAGAGAAAATGGGGAAATCTGATATATGAACACAGTTCCTCTTATGCCCCTAACCTGCCACATAATTTTCCCCAAATCTATGTTCTGGAGAGTGAGAGCCTCCTCTCCAAGAAAACCAAACACCCCCAGTGAAAAAAAACCCCAACCAAAAAATCAAAAACCCCAAACAAAAACAAAAAAAGATTGAGGCCAAACTCTGTGGAGATGTTTCACCACAGTCACTGCACTTTTATTCCATTTGTCTCATTCCATTTCCTACAGTGGGAGTGTTATCATGTTCTGTGTAAGAAATGACTCATCATCCAGTTGTCCTAAAATTTTATTGACATAAAAATATAAATCTGGTGAGTGACAGATGAACTTGTTTGGAGGGTGGGGAGCAGAATGCTTGTGTTTGGGAGAAAAGCTAGTTCAAACCAGAAGCTACTACTGAATGAGAGAGTTTAAGCAAAATACTACTTAAATCTGTAGAGAGTGGGCATGCACCCACACTATTGGTATCCACAGTCAAGAGTATGTACACATCCATCCTGTATGCACATGCACATGATCTCAGCATATACTATGTACACACCTCTGCTTTACTTTCCTGTTTCTCATGGACACCTTGCCTATTAAAGGAATTGTTGGTGCGCAACTGTTTTGTGAGTTCCTAACTGACTAGCAGCTCTTTCTGCTCTTTCTGGCTTCAAATATGCAGCAAAACCACATGAAATGAATCTTTGAATAGGCCAAATCAAGGTCGGTGTTTCTTCTACTGTTAAGGAGTTTTATACATCAAAACAGTCTTCTTTTACATCTTTTTTTGCCAAATCTTGTGGTGTTTCATGAAAAACCAAATTATATTTAAGAAGTAGGTTAGTGTTCCTTTTTTAATACCGATTAAAAAAATAAATCACAAAGCAATTTTTTAAATTATTGTTGTAGTGTCTGGATTGCTGAATGTGAAAGTTGCCAACGGACAATTCTGTTCCACTGCTCCAAATACCTTCTGGGTATTGTAATATTATAACAGATTTCCCAAGAAGCAGGAGCCATGGAGATTGTGTAGTGTATAACCTCAAAAGTCTTTTTTTGTTGGTTTTAAAAATTATTTTTAAAATGTGATGTGTTATTAGAAGGTTAAAGATGAGCGATATGAACAATAACTAAATGTCTTGTTATTTCAATTTAATAATTTAAATTATTTACAGTTTAGTGAAGTTAAGGAAACTGAAGAGATGCAATCCTCAGCTCCAGGTTTCATCTCAAAAAGAAACACTACTGGATGGAGTAACAATCCTGCAAAAGTTTGAATGCATAAGAAGCTCTGTGGGACTACACTGGAAAATCTCACATGGATTATATAGACCTAAGTCTTTGGTCAGTTGGTTCTTTCCCCTGCCATAGAAAAGACTTCTTAAAGACATCAGTGTAAAGTTGGTGTGTAAATAAATGTTTGATAACTGTAAAGCACATAGTACACAGAGACACAGACACACATGCACACTGGAAAATCACCTTCTACTTTTGTTCCCCTTATGTACTATGATTAGTGCAAGAAATCTCAGCCAAGGGCTCTAAGAAAATTAAAACAAAATGGTTAATAACATCAACATTTAAATTGTCCACTTCAAAAATAAATAATTCAAACGGTACTGAATGTGTCTATAGTGTGTTCATTAAGTAGTGTTACGACAGTTATTTGATTGGATAATGCTTGTGAAGTTTTTCTAATTTTGAACAAGATATTTTATCCCTGTATTGAGGACATGGGGTCCCTTTAAGCATTTCCTGCCAACTGTAACACCTGAAGAGAAAAGGCAAAAGAGCAAATGAGGCTGGGCCTTCAAGGCATAAAGGCACAGAGACCTGTCTGTCATGGCAGGTTTTAGGTCTCACTTGTAGAGAGGAGCTGCTGCCTGCTTGGGATGTTTGCACTCAGGCTGCTTGCCTTGGCAAGTTTACTAAGATCTGTATTCAGTAATTGCTAGTACAGGCTCCTCTAAACTTTGTTTACTATAAATTGCTATCATTTACTGGGGAAATTGTGCAGTATTTCTAGTCCAATTTGATTTTTTACATGTAATATCCAATTATGAGCCAGCTGAACTGTGGAAAAGGTGGGAAGTGAGTCAGGGCTCCCTTTCCCAATGAATGGCCTGTTAGATGTTGTGTCTCCTTCACCTCTTTCCTTCATTGGACTGTGGCCTATTCAGATCAGTGAAAGAAGAGACAGGAAAATGCCAGCATTCATTACAGCACAGCTTCCAGGTAAGAAAGCTGGATAAAACCAAAAGTGGTGTCAATTATCAGGAGGGTAACAGACACTTTATATTAAAAACCAAATCTTTATTCAACTAAGAAGGTCTTTCTACCATAAATATTAGAGATGATGAGGTGGAAAGCTTAGGACATTTTAACACAGGCCCAAGGGGATTTCTAAAGGAGAGCAGCCAGTTCCAGTCCCCATTGAGTGAAAGTTATCTTGGAAAGGAGAAATGAAAGTAAAGCACCACCTGTGCTCCTACTTGACTTAAAATCAGAGGCATGGGAAGGAACAAATAAGTAAATAATTATGTTTAAATAATCAGGTCACATAATCATGTTCTCTGAAAAGCAATTTCTTGCTATTAACTCTCTAATAATTTAATTCCTATGATGTTTTTGATTTTAGTATTCTGAGTAATTCATGGTTACTCTGCTTTCCCTCTGAAGAATTCAAGATGTTGAAATAAATTATGTTTTATACAGAGTTTTCTTTACAAAAAATTCTGATTGTATAAGAAAACTGAGGCATAGCAAAGTTAGAACAAAAAAATCTGTTGGCTGAAGACAGGTGCTGAAATTAAATCCCTTGACTCTTAGTCATCCACCTGGATAAATCATGCAATAAATTTGCATCTATTTTCTCAGTTCTCAGGTTTATCAGTGATGCAGTGCACTGCCACCTGAAAGAGCTGCATTAATACAGCTGGGATTTCACTTCACCTGGGCAACAATGACATTCACAGAAGAGATGTCCCATCTGCTGCAGTAAGAATGCCATCTGTCCTTTCAGCGTTTGCACTCCATACAGCAAAACAAGTTTTGAAGGGAAAAGGTATCCTTAAAGGGTCCTTACCCACACATTCAATTAGTTATGATTTTTCAAGGGTGAAAGAGTGGAGACACTCAGAGTCAGCAGTGTAGCAGAAATATCTCTTGGGCTCTTCCCAAACAGAGGTTCTGGCAAGCTTAAAAATCCATCACCCCATCCATTCCACCTCAATTTTTGCCTAAAAGCATGAAGTATCCATAAATGACAGGATAGGTAATGGGTAAGAATTATTAAACCTTTCCAGTGTTAACCACACCATAATGAAAGATATTTTTTCCTAGAACTATTTTTGCAGTTGCTATTTCCAAGGTCATTTATCATTGCATAACACCCTTTCACTAACATTATCAAGTATTATATATGTCAACATATTGTTTTTATAAAGAGAGGAAGTTTTGCTATTAATTTCTTTAATGTTCCTAATTTTCTCCTCCTGCTGGCCCTTCTCCCTCTTGTTCTCTACTGAACATATATATCTATGTATGTGAGTCCATTCTACACTGATACAATTCTGCTCCAGGATTTATCTTCCAGCTCTTAAATACAGGCATGTATATTTTTATAGATACATTATATTTTTAATCTAAATAATCAGAACACATGACTCAAAAAAACCCACCTTTTCCAGTAATTACTCAGAGCTGCTTTTACAGACTTTTCCATACTGATGTTCACAAAGTTGTTTAGCCCAACATATTAATATCCTTCATATGGATGGAATTATTGAAGACTTTAAAAAGGATTGCTTGCATGTAAAAATACATCTTTAGATTTTTTAGAATTCATGTACAGTTAGCAAGGCTCTAAGCATTCATTTAATTCTTTTCAAGCACCAGTAATGACACTGAATTTCTCAGACAATATACTTTGCTGTGAATTTAAACAGCATGGTTTTTTAACTGAACATTTCTACTGAATTGTAACTGAATTTCAGTTACAATTTTATTTTAAAAATTGTAATTTTTATCAACTGGAAGAGAAGTTTAAGACTAATGTTCAGATGAAAACACTTATGAAACTAATGCACTGTGATGAACAGCTGATCCACACCCTGAACAGAAGGGAAAAAGTGAAATTTTGATGCAAGATTCTGAAATACCAATTCAAGCATGCAGTGCACTGTATCTTGAGCAGGTTGCCTTAACTTGCATAAAACCTAAGTTAACTAACGAAAATGAAGATGAGCAAAAATAGACAAGATACTTTTTTAAAATATGAGTTGCAAGGGAAATGGAATAAATTAAATCTGGAGCATAGGTGAATTTACCTGATTTCCTCTCTGCGTTGTCTACTTGAATATTGAACTGCTTAAAGCCTCCTACCTTCAGGTAATCTTGCCAGCATGTCAAAGACCTGATGGGTGTTCTTTCGACAGATATCCACTGGATCGTCCAGGAGCCCAGCCAGGGCAGAGATGACTCCCCTTCGTATCAGCCCTTCCCTAGAAACAGCAATGGAGGACACATTTAACACAACATAATAAAACCTGTATGTATTTGAGATATTTAATTCTTAGATGACTCCCCTTCGTATCAGCCCTTCCCTAGAAACAGCAATGGAGGGCACATTTAACACAACATAATAAAACTTGTATGTATTTGAGATATTTAATCTTAACTGCTCCTCTTTATGCTGCATCTGTCTGACAAAACTTAGGTGCTGTTCTTATTTCTCACTGCAACGTCGCTTCCCACAGGGTTCAGAAAACTTTGGAATTGCACCCACCTGCCAATACTGTGCAAAGCCATTACAGAGAGAACTTCTGTTGTTTTCTGCCGGACAGTTCGGTCTTCATGCACCAGCAAAGCCTTCAGGCTGTCCAAGAATCCTACGAGACATCAGAATTCATTTTAACCTTTCTTACTTCCAGCATTATTTTGAAAATAGCAATATTCAGCGTTTATCTCACAACTTGAAGTGCCTCAGAAATTCCAGCTTGTCCTGACAGTGAAATTCTCATTGTCATATCTCAAGTAAGGAAGAAACTTTCAAATTTCAAGGCCTACTGCCAAAAATGTCATGCTACAAACAAGCTCCTGACTCCTTATCAAGTTAAATCCTAATCCTGCAAATATAAAGTGACATAACTCTAAAAATAAGACAGTAGAGCTATTGATGTCTTTAGAAAAGCATGTTTTTGCAGGATTGACACTCACTTGTCTTTTTTGAACAGAAATAAATGTGGTGAACCATTAATGATTGTGTATGCACATATGGCACTCACCAGAGCCAAAAAACCTAACAACCCCAAACTAACAAAAATCTCACATTGCTTTGGCAATCAACTGTTCATCAAACACTAACTTAATAAATTTTGAACATGACTAGTCTCTTTTATGAGAAGAAAAAAAGGTAAAGGAAGTAAATGGAGAAAATGCAGCAGCAAACAAGTATTTTTTCCTGTGTTACATAATGAGCTACGTAGATATACCACAGACTGCTAAAATTGCAAAAATAAACTTGTAGTTTGGGGATTCTTTCCCCCCCAGAAATCAAAATTCAGGATTCTTCCAAGCTTTAAAAATAAGTGGTGGCCAGATGTAGTCCTGCTGAGTATGAGATATTTGGTTATATTCCTTTCTTTTCTAATTTGTCATCAAGTTCCAGGCAAGTGGGTGATGATGGTGAAGGGGTTCTAACTTTGAACTAATTAGGTGGGGGTTTTTTATTAGCCTATGTTAGGAATTAGCTAAAATTGGAATAAAGTCTGGGGACATGGTTTAGTGGTGATCATGACAGGGCAGAGTTAACAGTTGAACTGGATTATCTCACAGGCCTTTCCCAACCTTAACAATTCTATGATTCTGTGGAAAGATTCTGCACTACTTTTGTATTTAGAGGTTGATAAAACTTACAATGAGCCTGTGATGAATCCTAAAGTGATGATAATTCTTATAATAACTGTCATGTATATGGTCTTATAATATTCTTTACCTTTCTAAGGTAAAAGAAATAGGAAATTTTTCCTGGGCGTCTTGCATGATCGATGATATTGTAAGGAAAAAGTAATAGAAGAAAGTGAAGTGGGGCTCCCCCCTGAGCCTGGCCCACTGTGTCAGAGCCAGTGAGAACTGACCACTTACCTAATGCTATTGCCTCGTAGACTTTTTCTGGATCGTGGACCAGATCGCAGAGAGCCATCAGTGCCCGCTGCTGCGTCAGCAGCTCGGGAGACTGCAGCTCCTCATTCAGCTTAGGAAGGGCTCTCCTCCCAAAGGCCAGAGCAGCTTTGGTGGGGTCTATGTCAGGGGGGAGGTACGCTGAGATACGAGGCTGTGCCATCCCAAATCTTCCTGAGAAAGGTTCTCCCTATCCCTAAAAATAGTCCAAAATGGCTGTACTTGGTGACTGGGCAGATAATGTACCATAAAGACACCTACTGACTTTGAACAGTGCTCTGTGTCCCCAAGGAGCTCTTTGAGCAAACATACGCTGTCAGGAAGCTGTGAAAGAGGCTGGGATCGTGCATCATCAGCACTAATGTGTGTTCATCTGCTGAATTGTCTTAATCTGGTTTAGTTCTCACTGAACACTGTAAAGAAAAGAGAGAGAGAAAGCTTAGCATTTCAAGGAAGGGTTGAATTGATAAAGGGAATGCTTTTTAAAGGCTTCAAGTGAAGCAGCCCAATGCCCAAAATCGGAGAGGGCTCAAAATAATAAAATTAAAGCAAAGCAAAACAAAATACCTCCTTTTTCCCTAAGGGGAAAAAAAAAAAAAAAGTATTTTAAAGGGATCTGGTTAAATCCTGCCCTCAGAATTCGGTAACGTTTGATAGAATACGTGAGGGCTGCCCCCCGACCCCCGCCCTTCCCTCAGTACGGAAAGCGCCTCAGCAGATTGAACACTTCGACCTCCAATACAGAAAACTGCTAACAGCAAAAACAAACCCAAAAGTTAAAACAGCCTCTAAACAGCTCCACTTCTCCCTCCGAGGCAAACGAAATAACTAAATAATCGAAAGCGCCGTGTGTCATTACCGAGCCCCCGCTCCCGCCCCTCAGCGCCGGCCGCCCCTCAGCGCGCGCGTGCCCTGGTTGCCACAGCGCCCGCTCTTTGCGTACGCGCCTCTTCGTGAATAGCGACCAACGCCGCCGAGCCCCGGGTCCGGCTGCGTCACCAGCGTAAGTGTCGCGCTTGGCAGTGCCCGCGCTGAGGGAGGTACGTCAATGGCGTAGGTGGCAGCGGGGGCGCGGCCGCTGAGGGGAGCCGTGAGGGGACGGGGATGGGGATGTCGCCGTGAGGTCCCGGAGTGGCAGCCGTGCTGCCTCAGATCTCTGCTCAAGTGTGGAGTTTCTCTTCTCGCCCCCTGTTTTCAAAGTAGTTTTACTTGAACAAAATCGAGGAAAATTCCGAGCGAACAAAATGGTGGTCGAGTTAAGGGCAGAAATACAGCAGGCGAGTGCCCAGGGGTACCAGGGCTGAAGGGAGCACAGCAGTTTTGGACTAGATTTTCATTCCTAATCTTCTCTAAAATGGCACTATGAACAGCTAGAATGTGTAGTGAGGGTTTCCATCATTACTCAGTTTCACATAACTGTTCAGAAGATGGTACGCGGGAAGAACGGATCATTGCAATGTTGTGGCACAATTTAAGGGTGTTCTGGATTGTCAGATGTTATCTGGTATCAGGAAAAAAACTCTGAACAGCTTGTGCTATAAAAGGATAGTGCAGATAGTGAAGTCATTGAGATGTTTTTCATTATGTCTGAGTAACAATTGTAATAATCAAAGTTCTTAAAAAGGATTATACAAATCCAAAGTAATTCTGATCAGCCGGATTAAAATGCATCACAGGAATAGGTTCTGGTTTGTTGATCTTCAAAATCCATAAAAGAAAAATTGCTACTCTAAAAAGGAAAGTATTCATTTTTCTGCAACATTTTAGAGCTGATTATTTACTTTACAGGTGATTTACCTGAATTAGATTAGACTTGCACTATGTACTTGTAAAAGTTCACCTGATTTCCACAGGAAGAACATGAACTTTTTTCAGTGTAGACAGTGCAGGACCAAATCAGAGACTTGTCCCTCAGTGTTACATCTGCTTTTGGTGTGAATTGTTTTGTCTTGTCCTTCACTGCAGCTTGGAATACTGATTTTGTTAGTGGTTATGACGTTAACTTATTTTATGTATGCCTTCCTCATATCCTTTGTCTATCCACAGAAGCTGCTGGTACTACTGTTCTTGCAATGTTGAGATAAGGAGGGTTGTGATGCCATGGAGACACTGTGTTCCAAGCCCTCCCTACTGACTGAATCCCCTTTCAGCTCTTTAAGAAGAGAAAATATGCATCATTCTCAGTATGTTTAGCAGCTTTTTATTTCTTAAATTATTTTCCTGTAATGGTGTGTCTTATTTGTTGATATGGTAAGTTGGGATATGCTTATGTGTGTGTCAGATTTAGATTAAATACATCAAGTATAAGTGAAAATAGCCTCTCAATTTTGAAATATATCTGTGTGGTTGTTTTGGTCCCTCCCGTACTTTGCATTCACTGAGATGGTTGAACTGTGGTTTTTGTAGCTTAGTTTGTGAAAGAGCTCTAGGAGAGGAGCACTGAGTCAATATGTGTACGCATGGCAAGTGTTTACCTTGCTTAGGAGGTGTTGAACTCCAACTAGAACATGCAGGAAGCAAGTTAGCGTTTGAAACTCTTACCAACTTGTGGAGTTCTTGTTTTCAGAACCACACTAATAGTTCTGACTTTAATTAAGACATTGATGTTGCCATAAAATCATCCAAGCTGGCCAGAAGGGCAGGAGCACACCAGAACAAGGGTCAAGACCTCTTGAGGTTTATATGGTCACAAGTAACATAAGTAACATAAGTAGAACTCTCCAAATGGTAATAGATAAATTCTGTGATGTCACCTTTGCACCCATCAGCTGCAAATCTGGGTTCTTTGTGGGGAAGTGGCTGTTTTGATACAGTTGAGGTCATATTTGTGCCCGAAGTGGTTTAAAAGCAATTTCTCATGGAGGAGAATGTAGGGGGATAGAGTATAAGAAAATAAAGATAGTGTAGAAAGTAATCTTACCCCTAAGGAGTTGCAGCTGGGCCAATTATCAAAGATTGGGAGCAGGCCTGACTTTACCAGGCCACAGCTGTAAGCAATGAGCAGAAGAAGAGTGCTATAACAGAGTGGGGTGGCTGGGTGAGAGGGGAATAGAGTCAGTTGGTGTTTTGTGAAGGAGGAAGAGTCAGTGCTCTGAGGAGCTGCCTGTGAGAAACACCAAGAAGGTGTGAAACTTTTGTGATAGGAGAAAACAGTGTGGAACTTCTGCAGTAAGATGACAACAGGAGGCTAAAGCATTGATTCTGGATAGTGGACTAGTGATTTTTCTTAAGCATTATTTTTTATGTGTGCTTGTAAGACACAACTCTAGGTTTTTTCTTCTGTATTTGCTCACTGTTTAAAATTACTGGTCTGCTTTGATATGCCCTTTAACATTTTTAGTCTGCTGCAGAAGTGGGAGAGGCTTGTCTCCTTGCTCAAAACCTCTTCCTTTATCAAAATATGACTGTTAGAATGGGAGAGCTTTGTTTTCTCCTGAAAGTTGAAAATTTAAATCCTAATAAAATATATAGCAAAATTTTTTAACATCCTAAGTTGCATTCTGGCTTACTAAATACTGTCTAAATTAATGAGTTAATTTGAAAAACTTAGGTAATGCAAAATGGCTGTGTAATTTCTTATTCCTTGTCTTTGGTGTTTTGTACATTAGAAAGCAAGATTATTAATGAGCAGAAAGACATTTATATAATTCAGAATGTCTCATTGGTGGCATGCGCATTCTGACTTTAAAGCTGAGATGAAATCAAGTTGAAATGCTGGAGAAATCCCTTGGGAGTTTCTTTATAATTGCTGCTATGCTTAATATTAGCACTGTGACAGTTCCCCACTCCATTGGTTCCTTGTTAATAGGTTAAGCCTGCTCTTTGTATCCATGTATACAACGATCTTTGAGCAAAATGGAATTGTTGCCTTATTCAGAATTAGGGATATCTGGGTTTATTGAGGAGCAGTTTCTGATCAAAGCAATCTGTATGACCACTAAAACGAGTTTGTTGTTTTAAAACTACTGCTCTGTGTGGAGTTCAATTACTGCATCCCCGCCTTCCCGGGCTGTGGAAGGGGAGGAAGGGAATTGTTGCAAACCTGTTGCTATGGCCACGTAGCAGAGGCTGGGCTGCTCGTGTGGCTGGAATCCTCTGCATCAGCTGCTGCTCGGTGAGTCCTTCTTACACTTTGCTGCATGATGAAAATGCTCCCTTAAGAAATGTTCTTTTGAATGCCAGTAAGAAATCAGTACCCTAATAAGGGTCCCCTCCCCCAGCAGCCCACGAGGTTTCCTTACATAACCAAATTGATGTAGCTCAGGTGAGACATCTGAATGCATTTGTGATTTTCATGTGAACGTTATTCTTTTTTCATGGCAGACAGATTTCATTCTTTCTGAGCTGATCTGGGATGAAAGTTTGATGTTGTGCCAAGAAATGTGGCAGCTGCATCTTTCCTCCCTTCTTCTGACCACATGAAATCTGGGATCCCTAACATGAATTCATGTACTTAGTGCACAGGCATTTGAAACAGTGATGAGCAAGATTTTAAAATTAAACACTGCAGAGTCCTTTGAGGGCTAAACTGTGAGCACTTGGCTTGAATTAAGTGAGCAATTCTTTGCCCTCCCAGAGAATTAGAGTCAGTGCCTTGTAGTTTCAGAGGGCCACTGTTTGCTGCTGCAGCTGTGCACATGAGAAACATGAGGTGGTCCTGTGTACATGAGAAACAACTTTCCCCCCTTGCAAACTGAGTTGAGGAATCACCAGTTGAACTGAGAAGAAAAAAAGGTGATGAGTCTGCAAGAACTTGGTTAGTCTTTATGGGGGTAATTCCTGAATGTTTCTGTATTGAGGTAATTCCTGAATACTGTTTTTCTCTTTATTGTTTTTCTCTTTATTGTATTTTCAGACTTGTAGAATTTAACTGAACTTAGACCATGAAGTCCAACCTAATGCATTGGGTTCCCCCAGTGAGTAGAGAGAGAATAATCTCCCAGTTTCCCAAGGTAAGGATTTTTTTTGTCCCTTTGGTCATAGTATGTAGTCCCTGCCAAACTGATCTATCTTTCCATTGTGCTAATATGGTATTTTAATTTAATTTAGTGTACATGTGTTGTCTTCTGTTAAAATTGCGAATTATTTAAGATTCTTTCAAAGTTTAATGTGACCTCATAGTCCCATTCTGAACTCTTTAATAACAATCCTCATTCTTCTTTCTAACCTTTACAAAAAGTGACTCTTGTGACACAAGAGTCATCTTACAATATTTGTTTTTTCAGCAAAACAGTAATAATTGCATGCATAAGAGCTCCAACACTGAGGGCAAAGAGGAACCAGAGCTGACATTAAATTTGCCAAAAAATCTAATTAGAAGTCTTTGGTTAAAGAATTTGAGGCAATTTTAATTTTCTGTTTGTACAAGAACCTTAGTCATACAGTAGATCAAATGTAGTCAGCAGGCACTGTAGAAACACAGACAAAATACCTTTGATGTCCCCAAAGACTTTTGTATTTGAAGTATAATAGGACAGGGAAGGGCAAGGACCACTTGTTTTTTTCAGTTGTTCAAAAGATCCTTTTAAGGGAGTTCAGTTTTTTTCCATTCTTGATCTCAGCCACATATTTTGCTTTTAATTTTATGAAAAGTACCACAGGTATTTTAAGCAAATGCAAGGTAAAATATATATTCCTCATTTTTAACTAATTCCCAGTTAAAGGACTTGTAATAAAAGCAGTGCTTCACACTTATCTAAGATTGAAAAATTTTCACAGTAATAAGGACTTGCTGGTGGTGTGCTCCCATCCATGTTTGTCTTGTGTGTCTTAGATTGTTGGGACAATTGAAGGCATTTTCTGGGGCACAGAATGATGAGCAAATGGATTTGGCCATGAGTGCTGAGGCAATGCTGGACACTGACACTCAGAAAGGAGCTCAGAGGATGGTGCTGTCCCAAGGAGCTTTAACAAACAGCTCTGGGGAAACCTTACTGCCTTCCAACCCAACCTACCCTTTTCTTATGCCAGGATAACCCTGTTCTTGACAAACCCTGTGAGCAATCACTTTATCTGTTTTTCCTTGCCAGTTTTCCTTGCCCAGTAGCCATTGCCCAGTTTGTCCCAGCAGCTGTTCTCTCCTTTCAGTGGTACACACCTGAGGCCTGTCTGCAGCTCAAAGAGCACTTCCATGCCCAGGTCAGGACTGCTTGTCAGCAGAGCACTGCAACAGCTGGGTAAGTTTGTAATAACCCAAGTATGCAAGGAAGAAAGTGTTTAAAACTCTTTAGAGCCTCCTTTCTTTGTTGGCTTTCCTCCCCTCATCCCTCACTCCAGGATGTTTCAAGGCAGCAAAGCCCCTGCACAGGGCAGTTCTCTGACCTGTTCCACAGTACATGAATCAAGTGCCTCTTCTTCTGCTGGGATAGGTAGCATTGGAAAAATAGTTTAGAAATGAAAAGGTTTTTGACACCCTTTAAATAAACACTTAGTTCAAAGGATGTAACAGATCCAGCCTTGCTGTGTTCTCTGTAGGTGTTCCAAAGGAGCAGTTAATAAAGGCTTTGCAGGGATATAAAGGCAGCAGTTCTAAGTTTGTTGAAAAATCTGGGAATCTGGCTTTAGCCTTTTTGAAGTATACATGCTGAGAAGTTCTCTTGAAAGGTTCCTTAAAACTGAAGCAAAATTCTGGTAAATATATAGCATTTCAAAATCAGGATAAACTGATTTATACTCTACTAATAATCTTGAAGTTGGTTTTTTCCCTGCATTATCTCTCCACCAGATCTGTTACTATTACTGATTTAATCTCTGAAGTAAGGCAAGACAGCTAAACTGTGTTGAAATCATCACTATTCAGTTAAAATAAACAGCTGTACATTTTAGTGATAAATGCTTCTGGTTTCAATGTGAAGGATCCTCCATAAAGTGGAGCTCCTAAGAATACTGACAATTAGCTCACTATTCCTCCAGCTCTGGAGTTGCTGACATGAGACTTGTCATGATATCCATCTTTAAATGCAACTTTATATTCATTTCACTAGGGAGTCTTGCTAAAAAAAAAAAAAAAATTAACTGAAAATATGTCACCCTGAGAGACATCAGTGACTTTATTCCATTTTTAGAAACACAGTCACTATCTTAGTTTCATGTAAATTTGTTACAAGTGTCTGGACAATTTTCCAAGTAAGATATGGATTATTGAATTGAGGTATTTTTCCTCTCCATTTCCAAGTTGTATTCATTTGGGATTTTTATTATTAGGGGTTTTTTATTTCTATAGTAAACCAACTCTCTATGTAATTTATTCTGGTAACAGAGTATCACTAAAAAGCTATATGTGAATAGAATTAAACTACTTCTCTGTCACTGCTTTCTAGATGTGATGATTATTTGGTCATTTTTGGTGGAATGGGCATAGGAAGGGCAGCCAGAGTGTTTTGTACAGTACTTGTAAAGCTTGTCAGGAATAACCATCACTTTTTCCTTTTCCATTACCCCAACTAATAAAATATTTCTTTGTCCTTTGGAAAGCTAGTCTGATAAATTCAGCAGCTAATGGCTTTATTTAATACTCTCCTGACAGTCCATCACTGTGTTAAATGGTCTGATCCAGGGAGTTTCTTCCCCCAGTACAAATTAGTGGAACACACACCTCTAAACCATCACTTACTCCTTGGCTTTTCCCTTAAGGTTGATGATTTTATTCAGTATTTTCTCAGTAACAGTAATCAGGAAGACAGGGGTCTGTGGTCGCCCAGTTAATGTTGACTGGCACAGAAAAAGCTTTTTTTCTTTTTTAGAGATATTAGTCATGCAGTTTACCAATCAATTTTTCAGCCATTTAGAATAGATAAACTTGGAAGCAGCATCACATGGAAGTTGATGTAACCAGAAATAGTATTCAATAGAAGATTAACTCCTTTGTTAAAAGGCCATTCCTTGATAGAAAAGAGCATTAAACCTCTTAAGCCATTTTTGTACCATTTGCACAAGAGATGTCAATCCAAGTTTAGGTCAACAAATGAATTTAAATTCACTTATCCACCTGGATGTCCTCAAAGAGATCCAGTTTCAATTTTAAGAATGCAGACTGAGTCACCTAAAGCCCATCTGCTGTGTCCTGGGGGAGGACCCAGAGCAAAGAGGATTATTTGCATGAAGCCAGGTTCAGATTAATATTATTCCAGATAGACAGAAAATGTATTGCCTCTAACCCTGTGGGTTGTTTTTCCTAGAGGTACATTCTGCAGTGGGTTATTTTATTATCAGCCATTTCTTATTTCTGCACTTAGGACTTTCATTGACTTTAATAGTACAAACAGGAACTTGGGATAAATTGGAATGCAAAGGATGCAGATGCACTATGGTCTTATGTGTAAACTTATGTAAAATTATGCCAAATGCATGTACTTGTAGTCAAAGCAATTTTAATTTAATGAAATTTGTTCCACTGAATTGAAATGAAGAAAAAAAATTAACAGAGTAAGAAATGGAGTATTTCTGCTGCAGAAGGTTTTGGTTTCTTGGTGCTTTCTTTCTCACAGTTAAAAACTCACCATGCAGCACAGTGGCATGTAGATATACTGAAGTCACAGGTACCTGTGCTCCTCACTTGAAATTTCAAGATCTAAATCAGAATTTGTAAAAGGAGACTGTGAAATTACTGCTAACACTATGTAATATTTTCAAATATTTATAACAGGCTGAAAATATCCAAAGTGGTTGTGGTAGGAGACCTGCATGTTGGGAAAACCAGTCTTATCAACAGGTATGGTGTATCTCAGCTGATGGTTTGATTCTCTTGTTTATCAGAGAAATGTTATAATGTTTCCATTGCTGGCTTCAGAGCAGTGCTTCATGGTTCTGGTTGAACCTGAGCTGGTACTTTGTGGTTTTGTTATTAAATGAAGAGAAAATGAAGTCAAGAGTATGAGACAGTCTTGGTACATCACCACAGAAAGTTGTGCTCTAGCACTGCAATCAGGATATGTTACATTCTTAGGTATTTTTATCTTGTCAAATATGATAGTGTTTTCTTAAGGAATCCAGTCTAAAGGCTGAACAACTAGAAAACAATTTCAGTGTCTGAGTCTAGGTTTCATTTGGGTCATTAGTTACGACCCAAAATATATTCCCCTGTAACTAAAACTGGAAGATCCTGTACCTCCCTTGAGACCCCAAAGATGTTTTATTCCGAGTCTCACATTATCCTGAGAGGTTACTAGATATATGTGCTTTCTAGTTTGTTAAACAGTATCTCCTTTTCCTCTTTTTTTAGAGTCTTTGTTTTTATGTCTACTTCTACATTATATAGCAAATCCACAGTTAGTTTTTTCTTTTCATAATTTACCCTAGTCAGTGTTAGTTTTGCAATTATTTGTACTTGTCTTATGAGCTTTTCATCCTCTTTTTTTTTCCATTGCAGATTTTGTAAAGATAATTTTGACCGAGACTACAAGGCAACCATTGGAGTAGATTTTGAGATTGAACGTTTTGAGATAATTGGAATGCCATATAACCTCCAGATGTGAGTTGAAAGAGCATGGTTAAGCATTGCACAGAGTACAGTCTCAGCAGAGCTTGAATTGCTGCAGGCTGTAGTGGAATAAAGATTTTTAAAATATGATACAATTGCACAAAGAGTAATGTGATCTGAAGAAAATATTCTGTCTATGGAGTTGCAGGTTTAGTAGAAATTTTGCTCTTGTGTTTCTCATGCCTAAAAAAAATACTACAAGCTTGTAAATGAAAATTCATCTTGAATGTCTTGTACTATTTTGGTGGAGTTCTGTCACTTTTACTCAACATTCATAAAAGAGAAGTGGAAGCTTTTGTCACAGCCACCAGTGCTGGTGCAACCCCAGTCTGTGATCTGAGTTTAGCAGGCACAGTGAGCACTGAGCTTGGCTTTACTGGGGGTTTTATTCCTGCAGTCATTGAAATTAATGATAAGCTGTCTAATGATTTCACCATCTCTTAATTAGCAATTAATTAATTATCCCTAAATCATAGAAAGGCCGGAGTGGTTTTATTAGAATGTGAACCTAATATCTTTGATTTTCAACTTTGCTTGTCAGACTTGTGGGAATCCTGCCCTTCTTCCACCTGCTTTGGGTCTGTGGAGTGGTGTCCCTTTGTGTTTCTGGTGGCCAGCAACACTGTTCTGTAGAGGGATTGTGGAATCACCTGTAGTGTGACCTAGAGCAGAAATAAGATGCTTTGCATGAGATATTTTAGTGCATGAATTTTGAAAACCTTTTTACTTAGGAACACTTTTTTTTCCTGGTGAGATCACTGATGTAAATAGATGGCTTGTGGTATTTATTGAAAAATCCATTTCCCACTGATTTCACTGTAACTGTGTTTGGGAAGTTTTGCCAGATGCTTTCCTTTTGGAACTTGAGTCCCTCTGAAAATCCAGACTCGTGCATCAGCATTTTGCAAACTGAAGCAATAAGGTCAGGTTGCCTTATCTGCAGAGTCTTCAGGAGCTGGGTAGAACATTTCCATATGATAAGCACTAGTGCCCCCTCTTGCTGAGAGATTTCCATACAAGATACATTTGCAAGTATCTGTCACTGGCAGTACGAGGCTGCAAAAAACCCCAAACTCTGTAGTGCTGGCAGTAGCTGAAGGCACTGCCTATCATGCTCATTAATGAGAAGGACATTCTTAATTTTATTTAATGCTGTCATTAGTACCTGCTAGACTGAGCTGCAGGTCTCTAATTTATAGTGTACAGACAGATATCTTATCTAGCAGTTGCAAGATTCTAACATGGGCTAATACATGACTGAGCTAGTATTAGCACAGACAATTTACAAAACTAGATTGCCCTAGAAATACATGCAAATTACATAGGTGAAAGGAAAAAAAATGTTTTAAGAATAGGGCATTACCATGCAGAATACAAATATTTGAATTGTCCCCAAAATGAGTATTTTTAAAGAAAAGGTAAAAATGGTGTTTGCATGTCTTCATTGACTCATAGAGCTGTAGTGTATTTCTCTCAGTAGTTAATGAATAACATGTTCCAGATGGTGACACCTCCCTGGTATCACATTCTTCTCTGCCTTGTACCACTCTGCTGCTTCATTAACATGTTTACTCAGGTTACCCTGGCTTTCATTACCCTGAAATTTCTTTTTTCCCCCTGTTGCACAGATGGGACACAGCAGGTCAGGAGAAGTTCAAGTGCATTGCATCTGCTTACTACCGAGGAGCAGAGGGTGAGAGCAATATTAATTTGATCCTGCTTTTGTTGGGAGCCTGTATTTTGTACAGCAGCCTATATCCATATAGGCTCCTCAGGGGGGTACCCACAGACATGCTGTGGTGGAATGGATTGTCCATTGTGGCAGGGAAGAAGGCATGAAGAAGTCAATGACTTGATGTGTTGTCACATCTGCAAGCTCTGAGTGTTGTGATGGTGCAGTGATAGAAAGTGGCACTTGTGACTGGGGGGAAAGAATTTGAGGTTGGGTGAGATTAATGCTGGAGTTGGAAGTGGATATTTCTGGCTTTCCCTTTGGTAAGAGACAATCCCGTGTTAATTTGTGGTTCCAAAATGAAAGGGTTGATGGCATTATAGATAAAACATTGAGAATTTAGGTCTTATTGGGCGCTAGAAAAAGAAAAGGAATGAGCAAATGGGTAGTCTTGCACTTCCTATGTGTTAAATCTGTTCTTACACCTTATACATAAACATTCTCTCTGTTTAACAAGGCAGGTTGGAGAGACTTCTGATACACTTTCTAATTTAATTACCTTTTTTTCTGGTCTTGTCTTTTATTGCAGCTATAATAACAGTGTTTGATCTGGCTGATATCCAAACTTTGGATCACACCAAGTAAGTTTCTGCATTTTGGCTTATCTTTTAAAGGTTTTTACAGCAGGTTTAATTGCCTTCCATATGTAGGTGTTAAGAGCTTGCTGGATCATGAGTGTATTTTCTATTGAGCTAAGAAATTAAAAATGACAGTTACTAGTTTGGATTACATAGGGAGGGATTTTTCTGAAGAAAATGCAGAGCATAAATTTGAACTGCTTACACTTGACTTCCTTTAAAGTCAGTGCAGAGAGGGAGGCACTTCAGTAAAAGCTTGATCCTTCCAAAGCTAGACATGCAGCAAAAGATGAAGTGCACTCCAAAAGCTTTTTTTTTTTTTTTACTTCATTTGGTATAAATAGAATAACAGGCTGGAATCTAATGTAAATGATAAAATTGATGAGATGCATCTCATGCATGTCTCAAGGGCCTTTCATTTTTTAGATGCACTGCTATCCCAAATTTTTTTCTCTGATTTCTGATGGGAGATAGGCTGTCAGAAAGAGGAGAGAAAATTACAGCTCCAAGTATATGTAAATACAGCTAAACTTACTAGTTCAGATCCTTGTAATGATTTGGCTACAAGAACACACTGATTGTGATGAGTGAACTCATTCTGCTTTTAGTGCAGGCTGCAAAACCCTGCATGGATCTGTGACCCACACTGCTGTCACAGCTCAGGGTGCATGTATTTCTAACGTGCTGTTGTGACTGTAATGCAGGTACAGACTTCTTTACAACCTGTACTCTCTTATTTGAATGTGTACTATGGTGCTTAGCTCATTTACATAGGACTTTGTAAAATAATATATATATTAGTGTCTCTGCTTGGCTGAAAGTAATTGAAGCCTGTGAACCTGATTTCCCACACACGCACACACTCCCTTCCCTGCTTGACTTGTGTTGGATGACTCAAGAGAAACTTGATTGCCAGAGTAACAAGAATATAAAAGCTTGTGAGACAAGAATCATACAGCCTTCATAGGGAGCTGTTTTATAATGCTGAATAGATTATTTCACTCTTTATTCCCATTTGTACCCAACCTGCTCTGTGGTTCATACCTTTTCAGTTGCTCCTTGCTTTCTCATTCCTTATCTCACACCAAACTTTGCCCTCTCCCTTACACTGAGAAATATCCTCTGTGGGTGCTAAAGTGATTGTTGAATTTGTACTCTGCCATGGTATGATTTTTCCTTAGTGGGAGACATGTATTCAAAGGAGCTGGAATAGCTACTGCTCTCTATGTCTAGAAAAAAAGGCTTTTGATACTCTCACAAGTTCTTCCACTCACTTTTCTTGTGACCTTATTATCTGTCATATTCTCCTGTACTCCTTGTTCTGACTGATTTTTTTTTTTTTTTTTTTTGGTATTTCAGACAGTGGTTAGAAGATGCATTGAGGGAGAATGAGCCAGATTCCAGCTTCATCTTTCTGGTTGGAACAAAAAAAGATTTGGTGGTGAGTAAATTGAGTGCAGATAAGGAAATCAGATTTTCCCCAGTTCCTCCAGCCTTGCAAGTTGTGCACAATGTCATTGAGATAAAGACCTTGAGTGAAAAACTTAAAAGGTAAATGGAACAGTCCACTTGAAACCAATTAAAGAATAGACTCTGAAAAAAATGGGTAGTTAGTGAAATATTTCTTGCATTACATTTTTAAGCATATATATATATAAACATATATAGTGATCTTGAAGGTTTTGTTGTTGTTCTGTAACTGTTCAGAGGTTTTCTTCTTTCTCTCAATTTAAAATAGCTGGAGTATGGAATTTAGAGCACTATATGTATTTTTGTTATGGCAGCAAGCCTGACATACTGGATATGAATCCTAGAAATGTGAAATTCTAAGCTAGATACTCACAACTGAGTGTTGGAGTTCAGAGAGCTATTGGAAAAATTAGAGGGAAATTGGTTTTAAGGAATGGTGTGTACATTACTCAGGAACAGGGAAGGTTTCTTACTTAATGGAATATCACATAATTTTCCAAAGAACAGGGTGAATGCAGTCTCTCTGTACAATTCTCAGTCCTGTGTTTGTCTTTCTGTAGAGAAAAGATTTTTAAAGCTTTGAAAACAAACTTGTTTATTCTGTTACTAGTTGGTTGGTCCCTGCTGCGAATGATGGGGTGACAAGGATTTAAAGACCATTAACTGGCTGCTGACTTGATAGTCCTTTACCAGGGAATGTGTTAGATACAGGGGTCACTTGTTAACTCTTGTTTTGTTTCATGCTGTGGGAGCTGAGTGAACACTTCCATGTAAAGCCAGTTCTAAATAGCCGAATGTTCTTGCAGCCATGTGTGATTGCCCAAGTCTAGGAAGGTCAGAGGGGCCACTGAAAACTGGCAGCATCCCAGTGTGGGTGCTGTGGCAGTGCCTGGGTGCTGTCACCAGCCCAGCCCTTTGTTCAGCTGTCCCATGTCTGCCCAGTCAGGTGCTGTGTGTGACAGGACAGAGCTCGATGCCATCCGCTTTGCCAAGGAGATGCAGGCAGAGTACTGGTCGGTTTCAGCCAAAACAGGTAAATCACTGCAAAGGATGTAAAAATAGCAGCACCACCAGGGCTGATGTTGCAGTGGGAGGAACTTATTATCCCCCCCATTGCCAGGTTTTTTGTTGTTGTTCTTGTATTTTGTTGCTAGGAGAAACTTCAGGCTTATTAATGGCTGGTTTTATTTGAGTGTTTGTATGTGTGTTTTCACTGTTGTGTGTGCAGAAAGAAATAATCAAGCTGCTTTGCAGTATCTGAGCATGTATAATTCATAGATAGTTACATAAATACACATGTGCACTACTACTCAACGTTTGTAATGGAAAAAGATTACACCACAAGATGAATTCTCTCTGTTGCTGGCTAAAAATAAAGGTGTGCAGTACAGGGTACAGTATTCCAAAGTAAGAAAATTAGAAATTCTTTCTGCAGTGATCAGAATGAGAGACTGTTGGAGAGGCCTGTTCTGGCCCAATATTGAGCAGTCAGCTGTTCACAGATGTGCTTGTTATGCTTTCTCATCTGTTGATGTGCCCTTATAAAAACACATCACTTCTGTCTTGTTTCCTAGGAGAAAATGTCAAAGAATTCTTTTCCCGAGTTGCTGCCTTGGCCTTTGAACAGTCCATGATAAAGGAGCTGGAGAGCACTCCTGGGCACAGGGCCCAAATTGGGGCAGGAAATCTCATCAGTATGTGGAGTTTTGCTTTTTGTGTGCATTTTTCTTGTTATAGACCAAAGAGTTGGGGAGGACAGCATTAGAGCCATTTTCAAGCATTAGAGCCAGTTTCAAACACCTGCAAGCATATTTTCATATCATTGTCTGCCCAGGTTTTATCCTGCAGGAGTGACTGAACCTGCATCCAGCTTTTGTTACCCATAATATCAGATGGTATAATTTCTTGTATGTTGATTTTATAACTTTTTTGTTTCCACAGAGCTAGAGAAGAATGTTTTGGAAGTTCCAGAGGACAATCCTCGAGTCAGCCTGAGTTGCTGCTAAGTGTCAACTGTTTCTGCAAGTGCCACACTTCTCTGCAACAATGCTCTCTAACCAGAAATAGCGAGCTTTAATTTTAGAAATGAGGGAGGACAAACTTACCCAAACTTTCTTGCTGAGAGTTCCCTTGCTGCAGGCTCCCTGTGCAGGGCGGTACAATTGTTATGTAAACCTTTCTCTGTGTAGCTGAAACACAACATCCTTGTCTTAATGCAAGAAGACATTGCCAGTGCCGTGGGCTCACCTGTCTGCCAAAAAGGCTTGTAGTCAAAAATGATGTCATTTTAGTGTGTTATTTTTGATAATTCTCTAGAAATCGTAGCTAGTGAGGTGACATTCTCTTGTGGGAGCAGGAAACAAGTGGCAGGTCAGAATGAAGGGTGGCATCAATACAGTTTTGCCTTTTAAAACAATTGTGTAAAATAACTCTGATTGCTTTTATGCATTCCAAGTATTTTAAAACTATTTGAAAAGAAATCTTTTAAACTATCAGGCTTGGAAGTACACAAATGCAGACTGCATAGTTTCCACTGTGGTTTCTCCATCCAGGAAAAATGTTTATTACTTTTCATTTTCCACTTGAGAATCAGAGCCCAGTATTAAATATTTCCAAGCCTAAAAGAAGTCCAGGTAGGAACTTGGTTGTTTTAACACAGCTGTCTAATATTTTGAAAAATGTTGCCAGATAAGAATGCTATTCTTTTCCATTCTCTTGAGTAAGAAAGAATGGTCACACAGGTGCATAAAATGGAAAACATTATTTTCCTCTAATTTTTCTAACAGCTCTCTGAACTCTAATACTTTGTTGTACCTAGCTTAGAATTCCATGTTTCTAGTATTAATATCCAGCATGTCAGGCTTGCTGACATTAAAAAATATAGATAATGCTCTGAATTTCATATTGCAATTAATTTAAATGAAGGAAAACCTGTGAATAGTTACAAGGTACTGTTTCTTGGGTTATTTATTCAATCATTGCAGAATCAGCAGTATGTTTAAAAATAATTGTAACAGGACTCAGATTTGAGCTGCTGAGAAATACAGATATTTATCAATAAAGTGCATCAATCTGAAAATATTCTGGATTCTCTGCCATTTTTCCCACTTTAAGAAATTGGAAAAAGTGGAGAAAAGAGCTTGAGCATGCTTTTATTATTTTTCCTTTTGACGTAAGTTAGAGCAGCTTCCTAGAATATGATGAATAGAGATCTAGGAACTCTGTGTCTTTTTTTATCAGATAATCTTCACTTTGGCAATTGTGCTGCCTGTTGGCAAGGACACAAATGTAGCATTTGGTGGAAAAAATGAATCTGTGAGGGTACAAAAGGAGCTCTTTATCCAAATATGTAATATTTTGACCTTATGATGTTCTGTGCAGTTGTTCAGTTCCAGAGTCTGTTTCAAAGGGAGGTGAATTTACTCTGTGCTCATAGCACAGCCTTTGGCTGGGCAGCCATGGCCTTGTGTGTCCTGAGTGAGAGGGGAGATGGTTCACTCTGCTGCAGCTGAGCAGGTTAGCTGGGCTTCAGTGCTGACAAGAAAAAAATGCTTACACTGCAAAATGACTCAGGAACAAATATAAGAAAATATCCATTTCTGGTTGTTTTTTTTTTTTTTTTTTCCCACCAAGAAATATACTTCCTAAGGGTTTCTTCTGTTGCTGAGCTCAATTATTGTACAAAGTCACAGACATGCAATCTCCTCAACAACATGATCATGTTGCCTGGGAAATCAACTGGGACAGTTTTTTCCTAGGGATTCAGCACACTGCATTGTGTTATTGCTGTTTTGTATCCTCTGGAGCTCCAAAAACTTCACATACAAATGTAATACTCTATCAGTCATCAGCTATCATGGGACAATAACCTGAGTCTATTAAATGATGGATGCTTTGACTGGGTGGTTTTTGTTTGGTTGTTTGTTGGGTTTTTTGTTGTAATTTTTTGTTTGTGTTTGGGGTTTTTTTGCTTGGTTGGTTTTAAGGGTGTTTTTAGCACCACTGAAACCTCCCCTGCAAAGAACTCCACATTAATAATTTATCATCTAAAATGAATCTTGGATCATGTTGCAAATGATGAGTTGCTTAGGAAAGCACAAAAGAAACTAACTATAGAAAATAGAAATTTTTAAGTTCTACCTGGCCAATATTTTATTTCTGTAAATCCATTCTATCAGCATCTTAATTGACTTTGAAGAAGCTTTAACATTTTGGGAAACAGTGTTGAAAAAACTTGAACTCTCACTATAGGTAGAGTAAACCAGGATTTCTATACCTGTTGAAATCCCCCCAGTGATTATGGCAACAGTCACAGTTTCAGCTTCTTGTGGAACTTGCAGGTGAGAAATTGAAGCAAACTTTGGAGTCAGTCTGAAACAAAGGTACAGAGCAATTGTAACAATCCATTTCCCAAAAGAACTGAAGTTGTGCTGTTTCTTGTCTTTAATAAGTAAAAGCTAATGTGTTCATGGATTGTGGATGCATTTGTGCTGAGCAAACCCACTGGTAATGGATCAAAAGCCACCTGACAATGTTAAAAATTAAAAGAAAAGGCTTTTATAGTAAGAAATTAACTATGTTATTCATGTTCTGAGTTATTATTTTACACTTAAGGTATGGTTATTTATACTTACATAGATCTTGGGATTCAGAACTTTGTGAATCCTGCTGGTTCCCAGCTCAGGTTTACATTGTGGTGGAACTGGAGTCCATTCTCCATGGATAAATCTGTCCCCCTCTGGGTGTTTTCAGCTTCCCCTTAATAGTTAGAGGTTGTTCTGATGTAACACACTGGTGAGTGGATACTCTGAACTCTCTGTATCACATCTCTGAGCAGGCAAGTTAAAATGAAATGCTGGGCAAGTTGTAGGAGAATATGGATTTGGTGATGGAGAGGGTTGATCACTTTCCTGTATTTTTGGCCTGGAATTGTTCTCACAGTGAGAAATTGCCACTCTCTGAATTTGGAGAAGGAGTATTCCTTTTTTACCCTGAGTTCATCGAATGATTTAGACTGAATGGGACTTCCCAAGACTTATCAGTTTTGTCAAACTCCTCCGAGAGTGCTGCTTTGTGTTAACAAAAATACGATTTTTTAGTTTCAGCCACATATTAATCAGAAACCATGTTTTATATCTCACTTTAAAAGCCCAGCTTATTCCCTACGGTTTTTTGTTTGTTTGTCCTTAAAACCCCCCGGTTCTTCCGCGTGGGATGATGCTGAAGAGCATCTGTCGGGAGCTTTACGGAGCCGAGCGGCTCCTTCTGCCCACCAGAGGGAGCCCGGCGGCCGCTGCAGGATCGGATCCGTGCGGGCTCGGAAGCGCTTNGCTTTGCGATCCCTCACCGGCCAGCAGAGGGGATGGGCCGGGCAGGCCGGCCTGAGCTCAGCCCCTCAGCGCGGCAATCTCGGTCTCAAATCACAGGTACGTGTCTGCCGCCGTAGTCTTAAAGAAATTTTGTGTCCAGTTAAAATACTGCTCTGTTCAATGCATAAAGTATCAGCAAAAATTCAGAGAACAATTCCCAGTGGAATTTCGGGAGTTGTGCTACCTCAGTAGATAAAGAGGGTGTAGTTGTTTAACAATATTATTCACTAAAAGGTAAGTGTGCACACAGAAATCCCTCATGTGACTCATTACTATTCTTCCTCCCTCCAGAAGGGACACAAATGTCAGAAAAGCAGACCCACACAGAAACCACTCCAGGAATAAATCAGAATGGGGAGCCTTCAGTAAAAGTTCTGTATGAATTCAGAACAGATCCCAGTGATGTCACGTACCTGCCACTGTTTATAACCATGCCAGTACAATCTCATAATTCCTAGAAATACATTGCATGTCAGAATTCTGTTGGTCAAACTGCCACTAAGCAAACAAATAGTATCAATAGAGAAAAGGCAGTGTATTTTACTTCTGTGACAGATTGAGAAGTCTTGAATGATTTATAGAGTTATTTATTAAACATATAGATTTTATAATGATTTAGCTCATAATCTGTTTTCCATATAGGTCAGCCAAAGCCTGTCATGTGTTAAAAGCTGAGGAAACAAGTGCAGGAAAAGCAGTTAAAGCCAGGAAACAAAACCAAGAGGGATGAACTATGCAGAAGTGAATATATGAGTAGCCATTTGTGATATAGCTGAAAATAGCCCAAAATATTTTCATTGGCATATAAAAAAGCATGGAGAGGAAAACTGTCTCATGGATTTGGAAACAGCACATATCTCAAAGGTAAGAGAGCTACTCCCATGGAGTTGTGCTTTTCATTCCTATGGGATTTTATTAGTTCTTATCAGAGCTATATCCCACTCTCTTTGCTAGCAACATGTACCTGAAAAATATGCTTCACCACAAACGTGAAAGAAACAGTTTTATGGGGGATATGAGGGGTACATGTTATCTTTGCCTGTCCTCCAAGCAGGCAAGATGGAGCTTTGGTTGCTTTTTACCCTTTTATCAGAGGTTAAATTCGTACATGGAAAGGACACATGGTGTAAGCAAGGTTAAGAAGGAAGTGTGATGGTGTGATTTCAGAAGGAAAATAATACCCAGCAGCCAGAATTCTGTTTAAATCATTTGCCACCCTTCACCCAGGGGTGAAGTGTGGGACTGAGTTACTGGGGCTAAATAATATACAGGACAAAAAGTGAGACTTGATGCCCAAACAAAGCAGCCTTTATTGTCAGTATCAGAGTTACTTTGGAATAGCAGCTGCCCACCTCAGAAATCCAGTTTATAATTTATTAGCAAGGAAGGTGGGATTGAGGGACTGACAAGCCTGCTACTACCCAGCACTTCCATGAGTGGGGGAAAACGTGACCTTTGAAGGTGAGCTGCATCAATGCCTGGGGGGAGAGCCTTGCTATGAACACAAGAGAGAGCACGGGGACGTGCTGCTGTTTATACATAATATATGAGGGCATGGCTGTATGGACGGATACCTCCCTATGTACACAGGGCTGTGTCCACGGCATGTTCTTAACCAGTCTTAGCTATGGTCGTGTCTGTTCGGTGTGAGGATGCCCAGGCTGCAAGG